GTGGGAACGAGAGACAGGGCCTTCTCTGTGGTGGCCCCTCAACTATGGAACTCTCTCCCAAGTGAGATTAGATCTGCCCCCTCCCTCTTGTCCTTCAGGAGGCTAGTGAAATCCTGGTTATGGAACGAAGCATTCCCAGAATAATGGCCGAGACTGGTTACAGATCAAAGTGAGTGACCACATACGTGGACTGAGTTGAACATGATTTCCCCTTGGTGATTTGGTATATATGTATTTTATCTATATATATTTTCTTGTATTGCTGTATAATGTTTTAACTTGTATTAGTAGCATTGAATCCTTGCTGTAAGCCGGTCTGAGTCCCTCTACGGAGGTGAGAAGATCGGGATATAAAAGCTTTAAATAAATAAATAAATAAATAATATATAGATATACTAGCTATCCCCAGCCGCACTTTGCTGTGGCCTCAGTCTGGTTCCTTCTCTACCTCTTTCTTTCCTCCTTTTCTTCTCTCCTTCCTTCCCTCTTTCCCTCCCATCTTTCTCTCCATCCTTTCCTATGTCTCTTTCCTTCATTCTTTTTCTTTCCTTCCTTCCTTCTCTCCCGCTTTCATGCCTTCCCTCTTTTTTCTTTCCCTTTCTCCTTCCTTCCTTCTTTCCCTCCCTTTTTTCCCTCCTTCCCCACTTTTTCTTTCCCTTCTTTTCTCTCCTTTCTTACTTCTCTACCTCTTTCTTTCCTCTCAACGCTGGTATGGCCAGCTCTTTCCCTTGCACAGGAGAGGGCGAGGTCAGGGGAGTTGTTTCCACGCATGCACTGTATCATAATTTAGGTTTTGTGGGTTTTAAGTTGCTTCCAATGTGTTTTTCTGTGTTTTTATGAGTGATAGTCATTCGTTTGCCTGATAGGTGTCTTGTGTCCAAATTTGGTGTCAATTCATCTAGTGGTTTTTGAGTTATGTTAATCCCACAAACAAACATTACATTTTTATTTATATAGACTAGCCATCCCCTGCTATGCATTGCTGTGGCTCGGTCTAGTGATCTGGAAAAAAAAAGTAACGAGAAAGTATTCTTTCTAATATATGTAACATTTTGATGCTTGTGGGTAAACACTAACAGTATTTCTTTCTGTTTCTTTGTCAGTGTTGATGTGGAGAGTGTCTGGTTTGCCTACTCTGGAATATGCGACATATCATAGTCCTTCTTTCGGGGTCCCTTTCAAATCTATGATACTATATCTCTCTGTGTGTGAATTATATACATTTATCAAAGAGCTGGATGGCTCTTTGTCAGGAGGGCTTTGATTATGTTTTCTTGTCCTGGTGAAGGGACTTGGACTGGATGGTCTTAAGTATGTCCTGTGTGCCAAGTTTGGTGCAATTCCATTGTCAGTGGAGTTCAAAATGCCCTTTGATTGTAGATGAACTATAAGTCCCAGCAACTACAACTCCCAAATGACAAAATCAATTTTTGAGTGATGGTCACTCCTTGGATTGTTAGGCATATGCTGTCCAAATTTGGTGTCAATTCCCCCCATGGTTTTTGAGTTCTGTGAATCCCACAAATGAACATTACAATTTTATTTATATAGACTAACCGTCCCCTGCCATGCGTTGCTGTGGGCCACATGGAGGATCTGTGGGGAGGTTTGGCCCAATTCGTTCAATTGTTGGTGGGGTTCAGAATGCTCTGTGATTGTAGGGGAACTATAAATCCCAGCAACTACAACTCCCAAATGTCAAGATTCCATTTTCCCCAAACTCCACCAGTGTTCACATTTGGGCATATTGAGAATTCATGTAGAGTTTGGTCCAGATCCATCATTGTCTGAGTCCACAGTGCTCTCTGGATGTAGGTGAACTACAACTCCAAAACCAAAGGACACTGCCCACCAAACCCTTCCAGTATTTTCTGTTGGTCGTGGGAGAACTGTGTGCCAAGTTTGGTTCAATTCCATCGTTGGTGGGGTTCAGAATGCTCTTTGATTGTAGGTGAACTATAAATCCCAGCAACTACAACTCCCAAATGACAAAATCAATTTTTTGAGTGAAGGACATACATTGGGTTGTTAGGTGTATCTTGTGTCCAAATTTGGTGTCAATTCGTCCAGTGGTTTTTGAGTTCTGTTAATCCCACAAACGAACATTACATTTTTATTTATATAGACTAGCCGTCCCCTGCCACATGTTGCTGTGTATATATGTGTGTTTGCATATATGTGTGTGTGGTTTTTGAGTTATGCTAATCCCACAAACGAACATTGCATTTTTATTTAAATAGATAGAAGATAGAAGAAGATTCATGTCTTCTTTCTGCGGGGCAGGAGTGGAGGGACGCTGCCTGGCTCGAGAGCAGTACATGTGAAAAAGATCTTGCCGTCCTCGTGGACAACAAGTTAAACATGAGCCAGGAATGTGATGTGGCGGCAAAAAAAGCCAATGGGATTTTGGCCTGCATCAGAGGAGCATAGTGTCTAGATCTAGGGAAGTAATGCTACCCCTGCTCTATTCTGCCTTGGTTAGACCACACAAGGAATATTGTGTCCAATTCTGGGCACCGCAATTCAAGAGAGATATTGACAAGCTGGAATGTGTCCAGAGGAGGGCGACTAAAATGATCAAGGGTCTGGAGAACAAGCCCTATGAGGAGCGGCTTAAGGAGCTGGGCATGTTTAGCCTGAAGAAGAGAAGAATGAGAGGAGATATGATAGCCATGTATAAATATGTGAGAGGAAGCCACAGGGAGGAGGGAGCAAGCTTGTTTTCTGCTTCCTTGGAGACTAGGACGCAATGGAACAATGGCTTCAAACTACAAGAAAGGACATGAGGAAGAACTTCCTGACTGTGAGAGCCGTTCAGCAGTGGAACTCTCTGCCCCGGAGGGAGTGTGGTGGAGTCTCCTTCTTTGGAAGCTTTGAAACAGAGGCTGGATGGCCATCTGTCAGGGGTGCTTTGAATGCAATATTCCTGCTTCTTGGCAGAATGGGGTTGGACTGGATGGCCCAGGAGGTCTCTTCCAACTCTAGGATTCTATGATTTTTCTTATTTAAACTATAAATATTGCAAAATTATGATTATTTTTTTCTTGAAGTGACACCCCACCCAAGTTATGCTCAGGTTTTTGGCGAAATTTGACACACCAAGCTGAAAAGTTTGCCCATCTCTGATATAGAAGAAGAAGATTCATGCCTTCTTCTTTCTGTGGGGCAGGAGTGGAGGGGCTGACTTGTCCCTCCAGGGCCCCAGAAAGGGCAAGCCAGGCCTTGAAGTGACCCCCTCTTTCTCTCTCCCCCCCAGAAGGCCAGGAAGGGTTAAATCCCACCAGGAGGGAGGGGGAAGGGGCGTGTCCAGGGAGGAGAGGCCTCGCCCATATCAGCAGCAGCAGCAGAAGCAACAGAGTGTCCGCGACAAAGAGGCAGCAGCTGGTCTGCCTCCGTTTCCTCCTCTTCCTTCTCAAGGCAACGCGGTGAGGCCTCTGTTACCCATCTTCAAGGGATGCCTCAGTTCTGGAGGTGAAGGAGGGAGGGAAGGCTGCCTCCGGGGAGGGAAACAAAGGCCCACCGGGAACCACCACTCCCAGGAAGCTTAGGCCAGGGGGCTGGGGATGGGGTCTGCAGTTGGCCCCCCAAGTTTCCCTCCCTTGCTAAGGATGAATGGAGAGCCAAAGCCCCTACCCCCCACCTTTCCCCGAAATCTGGCAAGGAAAGAGGTGGGCTCAGCCTCCCAGCCAGGGCTCCTCCCCTCTTCTTTCTTAATTCCTTCCTCCTCCTTGAAACTCAGTCTCTCAAGCCTTCCCTCTCTTCCTTCCTTCCTTCCTCCCTCCTTCCCTCCCTCTCATCCTGGCCTCCCTCCCAGGAGAAGAAGGGCTTGGTGGCTCCAAAGGGAAGGAAAGAGGGGCAGGTGCCAATGGGATTTTGGCCTGTATCAATGGGAGTGTAGTGGTTCTCAACCCTCCTAATGCCATGACCCCTGAACACAGTCCCTCATGTTGTGGTGACCCCCAACCATAACATTGTTTTTGTTGCTACTTCATAACAGTCATTTTACTACTGTTATCAATCATAACATAAATATCAGATATGCAAGATGTATTTTCATTCACTGGACCAAACTGGGCACAAATACCCAATGCAACCACATGTAAATGCTAGTGGGGTTGGGGGAGGATTGATTTTGTAATTTGGGAGTTGTAGTTGCTGGGATTTATAGTTCACCTATAATCAAAGAGCATTCTGAACTCCACCAGCGATGGATTTGAACCTAATTTGCCACACAGAACTCCCATGACCAACGGAAAACACTGGAAGGGTTTGGTGGGTATTGACCTTGAGTTTGGGAGTTGTAGTTCACCTATATCCAGAGAGCACTGTGGACTCACACAATGGTGGATCTGGACCAAACTTGGCACAAATACTCAATATGCGCAAATGTGAACACTGGTGGAGCCTGGGGAAAATAGACCTTGACTTTTGGGAGTTGTAGTTGCTGGGATTTATAGTTCATTACAATCAAAGAACATTCTGAACTCCACCAACGATAGAATTGGCTCAAACTTCCCACATGGAATCCCCATGACCATCAGAAAATACTGTGTTTTCTGATGGTCTTTGGCGACCCCTCTGACACCCCTTCACGACCCCCCCAGGGGACCCCCAGGTTGAGAAACACTGTAGATCCAGGGAAGTCATGCTACCGCTCTATTCTGACTTGGTTAGACCACACCTGGAATACTGTGTCCAATTCTGGGCACCACAATTGAAGAGAGATGTTGACAAGCTGGAATGTGTCCAGAGGAAGGGGACTCAAATAATCAAGGGTCTGGAGAACAAGCCCTATGAGGAGTGGCTCAAAGAGCTGGGCGGCTTAAAGAGAAGGCTGAGAGGAGACATAATGGGGGCCATAGACATAATGGGGGCCTAGGGAGGAGGGAGCAAGCTTGTTTTCTGCTGTCCTGGAGACATGGATGTAACTGATTAAATAGAAGCTCTCATTATTTTTACAAAGGCATAACAAAAGTGATATAAGGTCAGTTATCCTGGTTGCTGTTGTACTTACTTAGTACTTAGGCGATCCCTCATTGTCCGAGTAGAATTGTCTTCCAAGATCAGTGTGCTGACAGTGGGTCTGTAGGTGACTGTGGAGCCTGATTCTTGACCTGTATGTTCTCCCACAGTGAGGGCCTTGGTTTCCAGGTAGAAGGTGGTCTGAGTTGGGGTTGGCTTGATGCGCCTTCCTTGATGCGTAGGTAAGTGACTGTGGAGCCCTATTCTTGATCTTGTTTGAGGACCGGGACATCCGTAGGGAGACCAAGGTGCCTGTTTATAAGGCTATTGTCCTCCCAACCCTGCTATATGCCTGCGAAACATGGACTGTCTACAGACGTCACATGCAACTCCTGGAACGATTCATAGAATCATAGAATCCTAGAGTTGGAAGAGACCTCATGGGCCATCCAGTCCAACCCCCTGCCAAGAAGCAGGAATATTGCATTCAAAGCACCCCTGACAGATGGCCATCCAGCCTCCACCACACTCCAGGGCAGAGATTTCCACTACTGAACAGCTCTTAGAGTCAGGAAGTTCTTCCTCATGTTCAGATGGAATCTCCTTTCTTGTAGTTGCTGCTGTACTTACTGTACCCGTGGTGGAGGAGACCTTCGATGACCCAGCAACTCGGTGTTGCGAGTTCGCACACCATTTTGCAGGCAAAGTTGCTCAGATATGCCTTGAGCTGGACACCAATTTCATCACAGTGTCAGGAGAGGTGATTGAGGCATCTGCTTGTCCAATTTTGTGGGATTCTTTTAGGCTAGTTCTTCCTGAGACCCTGGAGGAGGTCCTTGGCGCTGTGAGGGCGACCACGTCGGCTCTAGACCCTTGCCCGTCTTGGCTAATTAAATCGGCCAGAGAGGGGTTGGTTGATTGATTTGTCTTGATCATTGATGCATCTCTGGAGCAGGGGTTTTTTCCATCTCGACTGAAACAAGCTGTGGTTCGTCCACTCCTTAAAAAGGTCTCCCTTGACTCCACGGTGCTGAACAATTTCAGAGCAATCTCCAACCTCCCTTTTTTTGGGAAGGTGCTGGAGTGGGTGGTTGCTTCCCAGCTCCAGGGCTTCCTAGATGACAACAACTGGTTCAAGCTTCAAAATTCGAACTCATATGGTTATAGCACTATATGGTACACATCATAACATTATATGGAAAGTGTGATGCTGTTTTGAGACCATTTTAGAGTTGGTTGTGAGAGCATGCTACATCCCCCCACTGAAGCATCAGCATCACAGAAGGAATGCACTTTGGGCCCACTTGTGCTATTTATTTATCGTGTCAGGAGCAAACCAAATAGTTGTATTGCATTTTTTAGCAAATAAACAAACAAACCACAAAGTTTGCAAGCTTGGTAGTTGATTAAGTGTCCTTTGACCAGTATCTGGCCACTTGGAGTGCCTCTGGTGTTGCCGCAAGAAGGTCCTCCATTGTGCATGTGGCAGGGCTCAGGTTGCATTGCAGCAGGTGGTCAGTAGTTTGCTCTTCTCCACACTCGCATATCGTGGATTCCACTTTGTAGCCCCATTTCTTAAGATTGGCTCTGCATCTCATGGTGCCAGAGCGCAGTCTGTTCAGCGCCTTCCAAGTTGCCCAGTTTTCTGTGTGCCCAGGGGGGAGTCTCTCATTTGGTATCAGCCATTGATTGAGGTTCTGGGTTTGAGCCTGCCACTTTTGGACTCTCGCTTGCTGGGGTATTCCAGCGAGTGTCTCTGTAGATCTTAGAAAACTATGTCTTGATTTAAGTCGTTGATGTGCTGGCTGATACCCAAACAAGGGATGAGCTGGAGATGTCATTGCCTTGGTCCTTTCACTATTGGCTGCTACTTGAGCTGCATTGTCTGAATGGTCTGCCCTCCTGGAAGGGGGAGTTTGTGAGGCACCAGTATTCTTTGGCAGGGAAGGCTGATGATTTTGCCACACTACAACTCCCAGGGTTCCTCTCAGCTTCAGAACTGTATATACAGGGAAACAAGGGAAGTGGGGCTGAAGGTGGGAAGAAGGGGAAAGCAATGCATGGGGATTCCCAGAGTATTTCTTCATGGAATTGGCTCTAAGCTGACAGGGTTCTGCTTTTCTTACAGGGAAGCCATACAGCTGTAACACAAAAATGGGTTTATTGTGTCAGAAGGAAATTGAGAATACAATTATAATGTATTTAAAAAAAATTAAAAACTTGGCATTATGCTAACTGTCCTTTGATCAGAAGCTGGCCACTTGGAATGCCTCTGGTGTCACTGTGAGAAGGTCCTCCATTGTGCATATGGCAGGGCTCAGCTTTTCTTACAGGGAAGTCAGATAGCAGTAACACAAAAATGGTTGTAAAGACCCCTTAAACCTTAACCTAACCCCCCCCCTCCTCTTTGTCTTGTGTAGCCTTTGCTTTCTGACATCTTCAGATGAAGAAGGGAAGAGGTTCTTCAGCCCAGATGGAGCCCAGAGTGAAGATGGAGGAGCCAAACCAGGCCAGCCCTGAAGTGGGGGGAGAGCCTAATGAAATATGGGGCAGGAGAAGTGTGGGATTCCCAGGCAGAATGGGTCAGGATGCCCTGGGGGAGAAGGCCTTCAGCACAGACCTTCAGGGTCAACGCTTCCTCTATGAGGAGACCTTGGGCCCCCGAAAGGTTTGCAGCCGCCTCCACTCTATCTGCCGCCTGTGGCTGAAGCCCGAGCGACACTCCAAGGCGGAGATGCTGGACCTGGTGATCCTGGAGCAGTTCCTGGCTGTCCTTCCTGTGGAGATGGAGCGCTGGGTGAGAGAATGTGGAGCAGAGACCACTTCTCAGGCTGTGGCCTTGGCTGAAGGCTTCCTCCTGAGTTGGGCCCAAGAGGAGAAGGAGCTACTGGAAGAGCAGCAGGAGAGAGAGGTCCTTCAAGCCCAGGAGGCCCCACCAGGCACCAGCCAGGGCTTCCCTTCCAGGTGGATCAAGATGGAGGAGAAGGACAGAAGCGGTGATCCACCAGGTGAGAGGCCCCTCTTTTGCTTGGTCCTCACCCTCAAGGTTCCTCCAGATATATGGTCTTTGGTTACATCCCTAGTAAGACTTGTCTTCAGCTGGGTTGTTAGAATGTTTCTAAGAATAGTTATTAGGACATCTAAGTGCATGATGGTCTTGCATGAAACTGGCTGCATTGAATGAATGCTTATGCCAGATGAAACATTGTCAGTTGTTAATGTTCTCTTTCCTTCCTTTCTTTGGAATTTCACAGGGGAGGAGCCAAGGATGATGGAAAGCTCATCTCTTTGTGAAGCAGGAGAAATGGCCTCCATGAAACAGGATCAGGTAAAAAGGTGGAAGTAGAAATGAAGTGGAGATAATTCTGGAATTGTCCATGGCCACGTCATGTATCAGGAAAGGATCTTTCATTGGTTTGTTTTCTGCTTCTGCCCAAGTTTCCTTTCAAGTGATCTCAGGATGCTGTTCTCGGAGGCCTTCTTCTTCCACGAGGCCCACACAGTGCTTTCCACCTTCGACCGAATCCCCTGTTCAAACCTTCATTAGATCAACCTAGTTGTATGTTATGGAAGAACCACCTGGGAGGTGACTTCTCAGTGGGTGCTGTCAGGATCCAGAACTTCCTTCCCAAAGAGAGGAGACTGCTGTGCGTCCATCCACCTGCCTCTTGGGTTTATTTCTCCAAATAGAAGAAAGGTTTTCTGTTGCAACAGACCCTGGATGGTTCGGTGTTTGGTTGAAAGCTTTGGACAGGGTTGTGGTGCAGCTGCTCAGGAGTCAGCTGCATTAAAATCACTACTGACTGAAAGGTCATGAATTCGAAGCCAGCCCAGGACAGAGTAAGCTCCCGATCATTTTTCTAGCTTGCTGTCTACCTTTGCAACCCGAAAGACAGTTGCATCTGTCAAGTAGGAAATTTAGCCACCCCTTAGCTAATTTAACTAATTTACGATGCCATAAAAATCTCCAACAGTGTGCAAAAGAATGAGGAAGTATTCCATCGATGTCACAAGTGGACGGTGAAGCAAAAGCTCCCCCGGTGGCCAGAATTGGAGCATACCCTCATGAAGCTCGAAAGTTAAATAGCCTCTGTGTGTCTGTCTATATATGTTGTGTGTCTATGGCATTGAATGTTTTCCATGTATATGTGCATTGTAATCTGCCCTGAGTCCCCTGCAGGGTGAGAAGGGCGGAATATAAATACTGTAAATAAATAAATTCCTGTACAATAAAATAAAATACTATCCCTTGCCCAGCCCTTTTATAGTGGAGACATCCATTTTGTAATTCTGCCCATTAGTTTGTTGAACCTCGCCTGATGGAGATAAAATGCATTTTTTTTCCATTTTTAGTATGTTTTAGCAGGATTTTTGCATTTTATGATGCTTTTATTTTTTGTTATAATAATAATAATAATCACCATCATTATCATCTTTATTTGTATCCCACCACCATCTCCCCAAAGGGACTCAGGGTGGCTCACAGAAGTACTCCCAAGTCCCACATGCAGACAACAATGCATAAATATATATACAATGACATAAGTATAATCAACAGCGCATAAAAATCTCATTGATTAAATTATAAAAATTTTAAAATTATAAAATTCCTAAAATGCATAACAATCAATCAAAGTATGGTCCACTACTATCAACGATTCATCACATTGGCCATGGATTACTCGGGACCAAAGGCTGCCTGAGGAGCCATGTTTTTAGACCTGAAGGGAGGGGGCTAATCTAATTTATTTAGGAAGGGTGTTCCTGAACCAAGGAGCCACCACTGAGAAGGCCCTCTCTCTCGTCCCCACCAACCGTGGTGGGACTGAGAAAAGGGCCTTCCCAGCAGATCTTAATGGCCTTGCCGTTTTGTAGAAGGAGGTGTGGTCTCGAAGATAAGTTGGACCCGAAGCGTATAGGGCTATTTTGTATATTATGTTTATTGAGATAAATTAGGTTGTTTTATATTGTCTAATGTGCTTGTCTTGATGTAATTTGTCTGTCTGGTTTTCTTTTTGGCAACTGAATGTTTCCCTTATATATTGGAAACCGCCCTGAGTCCCTTCAGAGAGATAGGGTGGTATACAAATTACATTTTATAATTTATTATTATTATTATTATTATTATTATTATTATTATTATTATTATTATTATTGATCTGTGTGCCCTAATCCTCCCCTTTCAGGTGACTTTTGAGGATGTGACTGTACATTTCAGTGAGGAAGAGTGGGTCCTGCTGGACCCGAATCAACAAGCCCTGCACTGGGAGGTCATGGGAGAGAATTATGAGATGTTGGCCTCTTTTGGTAAGGATCTCTCTGTGTATTGGTCCATAGAAATCAGTTTTGGAAATGCTCCCTCGTTGCATCGCTTAGAATCATGATTCTTCATCCAAACATTGTTCCAACTGAATTTGTGTAACTCTGTATTGTCGAAGGCTTTCATGGCTGGAATCACTGGGTTGTTGTAGGTTTTTCAGGCTATATGGCCATGTTCTAGAAGCATTCTCTCCTGACATTTTGCCTGCTTCTATGGCAGGCATCCCCAGAGGTTGTGAGATCTCTGAGGTTGTGAGGACCTCACAACCTCTGAGGATGCTTGCCATAGATTCTGGCGAAACGTCAGGAGGGAATGCTTCCAGAACAGTGTTTCTCAACCTGGGGGTCGGGACCCCTGGGTGGGTCGTGAAGGGGCGTCAGAGGGGCCGCCAAAGACCACCAGAAAACACAGTATTTTCTGTTGGTTGTGGGGGTTCTGTATGGGAATTTTGGCCAATTCTATCATTGGTGGAGTTCAGAATGCTCTTTGATTGTAGGTTAGTTATAAATCCCAGCAACTAGAACTCCCAAATGTCAAGGTCAATTTTCCCCAAACTCCATCAGGGTTCACATTTGGCCATATTGAGTATTCATGCCAAGTTTGTCCAGATACATCATTGTTTGCATCCACAGGGCTCTCTGAATGTAGGTGAACTACAACTCCAAAACGCAAGGTCAATGCCCACCAAACTCTTCCAGCATTTTCTGTTGGTTATGGGAGTTCTGTGTGCCATTGTTGGTGGAGTTCAGAATGCTCTTTGATTGTAGGTGAATTATAAATCCCAGCAACTTCAACTCCCAAATTACAAAATCAACCCCACACCCCACCAGTATTCAAATTTCGGCATATCGTGTATTTGTGATAAATTTAGTCCAGTGAATGAAAATACACCGTGCATATCAGATATTTACATTACGATTCATCACAGTAGCAAAATTACAGTTATGAAGTAGCAACAAAAATAATGTTATGGTTGGGGGTCACCACAACATGAGGAAGTGTATGAAGGGGCCACGGCACTAGGAAGGTTGAGAAACAGTGTTCTAGAACATGGCCATATAGCCCGAAAAACCTACAACAACCCATTTGGCCATACAGCCTTTATCTTGTTCTTCATGTCATATCACAACAAGATATTTTTGAAATCAAAACCTCCTGTTACGTCAGCTCCATGACTGCCAATTTACTAATGGGCACAATTCAAGGTGCTGGCTTTAGCCTGTAAAGCCCTGAACAATTCTGGCCCAATTTATCTGTCTGAACGTATCTCCCTCTATGAACCAGCTAGAGTGTTACGATCTGATGGGGAAGCCCTGTTCTCAGTCCCACCCCCCTCGCAAGTATTACTGGTGGGGATGGGAGAAAGGGCCTTCTCAGTGGTGGCCCCTTGACTATGAAACTCCCTCCCCAGTGACGTTACATTGTCCCCCTCCTGCCTTGTTTTCAGAAAAGAAGTCAAGACCTGGTCATGGAACCAGGCGTTTGGGAAGTATTGCAATTCGGAACTGACATAAATGTGTCAGTAAAATTGAGCCTCAGAGCAACTGCTAGGAGGCTCGCAATAAAACAGAGTGCACAGTCTTCCATCAGCTTCAAAGCCTTGAAGCAGCATGTTTATTTAGTTGCTTTCTAACAGCTACAAAAACAACAAAACATAACTATGTTCAAGTGAAATCACACACACCTCTTGCTCGTTCCTTGGCATGGCTGGAAGAGGACGTCCAGCAGTCCGTTATCTCAAGTCCACGTCATTGGAATGTGTGACGTATACCAGAACTGTTCACAGTTCACACTCTAGGCAATGAATCACATCTATGACTTTAACCCTTGCATAGCATGCCATTCTGCACTGGTAACACACAGAGTTTTAAAACCTATAAACTATATTTCACCCCAGTTATAGCATTATACTGACAAAATGTAGCAGCATGAATGTCTACTAAAGGACTAGACGCTATGTTTTAACAAATATCTTATTTGTGGTGCAAAAAACCCACAAAAATATGTAAGAATTAAAATTAAGAACAATTTTAACAAATATAAACTTACAAGTATTTCAATGGGAAGTGTGGGCCTGCTTTTAGCTAATGAGATAGGATTGTTGTTGTTGTGTGCTTTCAAGTCGTTTCAGACTTTGGTTGACCCTGAGCGAGGGCCAAGTAAATGACCTTGGAGGGCTGTATCCGGCCCACGGGCCTTAGTTTGGGGACCCCTGGCTTAATGTGTTGTATTTGTTTATTTATATTTGCAATATGGCATTGAATTTTGCCAAAACTGTAATCTGCCCTGAGTCTCCTTTGAGGTGACATAGAGCAGGGCAGAAATATCGTAAATAAATAAATAGATACATAAATATTTAATTTAATAGATTGTATCATGTTTCAAGGTACTTGCACATACAAATACAACAACTAAAAATGCTTCCTTCTTAGGAAAGCGTAAATCATTCATCCAGAATTGATATGCTTTTGAGACATCAATTTATGACTTCTTTTAAAAAGCATGACAATTTTACCCAGAATAATGTTGGACCATAATCCTGTTGCTTAGGTGTTGTTTAACAGAACAGGAACATTTAATTGGACAATATGACAAAGAGTCTTTGACAATCAAGAATGTTTCAAGGGAGTGTGAATAAGAGGATGGTTTGGGTTGCTAGTTAGTTCACTGATTTCCTGCTTCTTTTTTCTAATGCCTTCTTAATGTTTGTTTTTTCTTCAAGGTGGTGCTGGAAAAGAGAGTGAAAATGGGACAGCATCATGTAAAGCATTGAGGAAAACAACAGGATATAAAGAGGAGGGAGAGGGAAACCTGGAAATGGAAAGAGAAGCTTATAGAAGGAAGGGGTGTTCTGCTGATATAAAGGAAATAACAATCCAAGAAACACTAGACGAAACCAGGGGAATCAGGAACTGTCATGTCTTTGACAGTAGCTTCTTGCATGAGGAATCATGCCTGAATGATGATATCTCCATCCTAATGGAGAAAGGACAACCTCAATGCCATCAATTGGAAGAGAGCTTTGGATCTAGTATGCACCTTACAAACTATGAAAACCCACAAATTGTGTATACGCCGTATAAATGCCTGGAGTGTGGGAAATGTTTCCATTATAAAGGAAGCCTAACCACGCACCAAAAAACCCACACAGGAGAGAAGCCGTATAAATGCCTGGAATGTGGAAAATGTTTCTTTCAGAAAGGAAACCTCGAGAGACACAAAAGAACCCACACAGGAGAGAAGTTGTATAAATGCCTGGAGTGTGGGAAAGGGTTTTGTGATAAGAGAAGTCTTGTTGGACATGAAATGAATCACAAAGGAGAGAAACCCTATAAATGCATTGAATGTGGGAAATGCTTTCACCACGAAGCAGTCCTAAACACACACCAAAAAACCCACATGGGAGAGAAACCATTTAAATGCCTGGAGTGTGGGAAAGGTTTTTCTGATAAGAGAAGTCTTATTGGACATGAAAGGAATCACAGAGGTGAAAAACCCTATAATTGCCTGGAGTGTGGAAAGAGTTTCTGTTGGAAAAAATCCCTAAAGCTGCACCAATACATCCACAGGGATGAGAAGCCATACACATGCTTGACCTGTGGAGAAGGCTTTGCTGAGAAGAGAATTCTCATTGCACATGAAATGAAGCACAGAGGAGAGAAGCCCTATAAATGTCTGGAGTGTGGAAAAGGTTTTTCTAAAAAGAGAAGTCTTATTGGACATGAAATGAATCATAGAGGAGAGAAACCCTACAAATGCACTGAGTGCGGAAAATGCTTTCATCACAAAGGAGTCCTAAACACACACCAAAAAATCCACCTGGGAGAGAAGCCATATAAATGTCTAGAGTGTGGAAAAGCTTTCTTTTCGAAAGGACACCTCAAAAGGCATGAAGGAACCCACACACAAGAAAAACTATATACATGCCTGGAGTGTGGAAAAAGTTTTACTGATAAGAGATATCTTATTGGACATGAAATGAATCACAGAGGAGAGAAACCTTATCAATGCACCGAGTGTGGAAAATGCTTTAATTACAAAGGAGTCCTGTACACACACCAAAAAACCCACATGGAAGAGAAGCCATATAAATGTCTGGAGTGTGGAAAAGGTTTTTCTGATAAGAGATACCTTACTGGACATGAAATGCATCACAGAGGAGAGAAACCCTATAAATGTCTGGAGTGCGGGAAGAGTTTCTCTTTGCGACGTAGCCTAAGGCTGCACCAAAACACCCACAGAGGAGAGAAACCCTATAAATGCCTGAAGTGTGGGAAATGTTTCTCTCGGAGAGCACACCTCGACAGACATGAAAGCACCCATACACAAGAGAAGATATATAAATGCCTGGAGTGTGGAAAAGGTTTTTCTGGTAAGAAAAGTCTTCTTGGACATGAAATGAATCACAGAGGAGAGAAACCCTACAAATGCCTGGAGTGCGGGAAGAGTTTCTGTTGGAAAAATAGCCTAAAGTTGCACCAATACACCCACAGAGGGAAGAAGCCGTATCAATGCCTGGAGTGTGGAAAATGTTTCTCTCAAAAAGAAGTCCTCAATACACATCAAAAAACCCACACACGAGAGAAGCCATATAAATGTTTGGAGTGTGGGAAATGTTTCTTTCAGAAAGGAAACCTCAAGAAACATGAAAGAACCCACACAGGAGAGAAACCGTATAAATGCCTGGAGTGTGGGAAAAGTTTCTGTGATAAGAGAAATCTTATTGGACATGAAATGAATCACAGAGGAGAGAAACCCTTCAAATGTCTGGAGTGTGGGAAGAGTTATGGCCTTAAATCTGTTCTTACAGCTCACCAGTTCACTCATACAGGAGAGTTTGGGAAGAGTTTTAGCTACAAATCAGACCTCACAAATGTCCAGGATAGTCATATAGAAGAGACATCAAAAACATGTCCGGAATAAGGGAAGAGCTTCCATTGGAGAGCAAGTCTCAAGGCCCACTGAAAAACTCACATGGGGTGGGAGTAAAAAAGGCTGGAATCTGATAAGAGTTTGAACTGCACATCAGTCCTCAGAGATTACTGGAATGTTCATGCAAAGAGAAATTATACATATCCCTGCATTTTGCAAATAATTGAGTTGCACAACAAGCTTCTTGGTGTACTAAAAAACCCACACGGGAAAGAAGCCATGGAAATGGCTGGAGTGTGGTAAAGGCTTCACTCAGGGGAAACATCCCCTTGAACATGAAATGAATCTCAGAGGAGAGAAGCTTCTAAATGCTCAGAGGGTGGGAAGAGTTGTGTCCTCAAATCAGGTCTCAAAACTCCATGAGAGAAAGCATACACACGCCAAGAGGGTGGGAAGAATTCAATCCTCAGTAGGCACCAGAATAGTCACACAATGAAGGAAACACATGTGGACAGAAAACTGCTGTAGCCTTTATATTGATTCTTTCTTATCTAAACTGACAGTTGATTCAAATCATCTTGGATGTTTTCTTGGCACACTTTAAGGGAGAACCTGGCAGGTTCAGCCCAGTCCTGGCCTTGTGGCACTGTCGCCGCTTCACCGGTTGAGATGATGCGGTTTCCACACTGGTTTCCTCCTTTTCAGCTGTTTTGTACTTGCTTTAGTAAGTTCACTGAAATGTATTTCTTGTATTCTTTTGCAAATGCTCAGAGAGAAATAAAGGCATCTTATGGCCTCGTTGTGTAATGTTTTGAGCCTTGTGTTGTCCCTCTGTAAGACAGAGCTTGCAGCCCCACTTGGCCTTGGAAACCCACTGGTGTGCCTGGAACAAGTGACATCCTCTCAACAGGGCCAGCCCTCAGGACCCAAATACTAACCTGGGCTGACTCTATTTAGCTTCCAAAATCAGGCAGAATCTGCTGCATTTGGCGTATTGTCTCACACACACACACACACAGAGGGAGAGGGAGAGAGGAATGAGTTCCACTTACTTGTCTTTCACTTCACTAGTTTTCCATCCCTTGACAGGGTTTTTTTGGTTAGGGAAATTCGCCAAAGTAGCAGAATACAGTGTTCCCTCACTTATTGCGGGGGTTCTGTTCTAGGACCACACACGATAAGTGAAAATCCATGAAGTAGGGACGCCATATTAATTTTAATATTTATACATTCTTTTATATATTTGTTCTGTTGCCGCTGGAGCCGAAATGAGATGCTTTTAAGAGAGGATGTTAGGCTTGCATCCAGCGGGAAGCCAGGGCCCCCGAAAAGAAGCCTTTAGGAAAATTCCCCTTATTAAGCAGTCTTTATTAGGCTTGAGCTTAAGTATAACAGTTCTTTATTAATGAACAAACAGGCTTAACAGTCTATTAGCTCTTGCAATCTTGTTTACAGGTAACAGGCACTATCTTCAAGAACTTTGCTTAAAGGAAAATTCCCCTTTTTAGCTCCTCCCAGGCTGCTGTGAACCTAAACCTGACTGATTTGAGTCCACTTCCGGCTGAACTGCGTCTCAGAACCTAGCAGACGTACCAGCAGGCCTGTAGTCACTTAGCTGGAGATGAGCAGAGCTGTTATTCCCTCCGGAAGTCCTCAGGGCTGTAAAGCTGTTTCCCTGGAACCTTTTGGGAATCTGTAGAGGCTCTTAAAACTGTTCTCCCCCGGGAAGTCTTAAGAGACGAAGCCTTTGCACAGGAGGACGTTTGTGTACATCCTCTGCATTGACTTCCTTTTTGAGACTAACTGAAAAATGGCCCCTTCCCTCCAAAAAAACCCAGAGAGGGGCAGGATCAGGGAGCCTAACTGTTATTGACAGGTGGCTTGTCCTATAAAAGCAAATTATAACAGGAAGCCACCCTGCTGCAAAATCCCAAGCCTGGGATTGCAAACCAACATTTAATTCAAAGAAATTAAATTGGAGCTCCTGGAACAGCTGTTCCAGAACAATATTTAATATATTATTTTCTTACCCGTGCTTCCTTAGCCGCCTCCCGACCCATATCAAGGGCACCTGCCTGCCTCCCTGGCCTTTGCAGAGCCTCTGGAGCCATGCAGACAGCAGCAGGCCAGGGAGGCAGGACTTCCCTGTCGCACTTCAGGCCACCGCACTTCCGGGGTCTATGGAGGCCAGAAAGGCAGGAGTTCCCCGCTGTGCATCAGGCCGCCGCACTTCCGAGGTCCTTGGCCTCCCCTGGATGTAAATATTTAACATTTCTATTAATATTTTCAAAAACCTGCGAAACAGCGAGTCCGCTAAAAGCGAACTGCAAAGTAGCGAGAGAACACTGTATTTTAAAATACAACACAGGATATATAACAGCATTCTCAGGTAGCAGCAAGCAGCAGATAATAATAAATAAAGTGTTGTTGTTATGATTATTTATTTATTTAGTTAGTTAGCAATTTTGTATACCGGTCTTCTCCCCTCTATCGGGGGACTCGGACCGGTTTCCAACAATAATATCACAAAACAATAATTAAAAACATCATATAACATATTCAATTAAAACGTTTAAACAGCAAAATGCAATCACATAATAACAATGGTCAGTCGTCATAGTGAATTCGTTGTCCGTCATTCATCGTCATCCATCCGATCACAGAAATATTGATTCACTCGTCGAAAGCCAAACCCCATAGCCAGGTTTTCACCCGTTTTCTGAACGACAGAATGGAGGGGGCAGTTCTGATCTCCAGTGGGAGAGAGTTCCAGAGTCGAGGGGCCACCACCAAGATAGCCCTGTCCCTCGTCCCCACCAGACGTGCTTGAGAGGCTGGTGGGACCGAGAGCAGGGCCCCTCCAGACGATCTTAACAATCTAGATGGTTCATAGGGGAGAATACGTTCGGACAGGTAAACTGGGCCGGAGTCGTTTTGATTATTATGATTATTATTATTTCCAGCATTTCTACCCCACCCTTCTCAACCCCCCCGGGGGGGGGGGGTACTCAGGGCGGCTAACATAGGCAACAATTCAATGCCACAATATCAATAAACAATATAAAACCATGAATATATAAAAAATGTAAAAATAATAACATTAGTTAAATATATTCCGCCCCTTTCACCCCGAAGGGGACTCAGGGCGGATCACAGTACATATACATGGCAAACATTCAATGCTGCTTTTTATAGACAGTGCACAGACAGACAGAACAGAAAGGAGGTGTGTTGTTTCAATCCATGAAAAGTTGGTCTTGAGTCCAGCCACGGGCTGCTGTCGCTCTATCCTCTATGACGAAGAGCCGTCAGGACTTCCTTCTTCCTTTTGGTTGCCCAGCATTTTCCGATCTTCTTTCCTTATGACATTGTAAAACACCTCCCCTGCTTTTAGCAGTACCTTATTTCCCTAATTACAGCTAAAGCTGTTTTCGAACTGCTTAGGTAAACAGTGAGCAGGGCTGACAGTAGGCAGCTCACGTCGACCCTGGGGCTTCGAACTTGCAACCTTTCGGTTGATAGATCTTAAAGTTGCTGGTGATTTACCAGCTGTGCTAAACCTCCAGATAGAGATAGTGTAGCTGCAAAGAATTCTTGAGCTTAAGGAAGGGAGATACAGGGTTCAACCTTAAAATATTTCAAAAGGTTTATTAAAACATAAGATCTACATTTATTGATAGAAAGGATTGGATCTAAGCTTTCTCTTGATTGAGTTTTTATTATGTAGATGCTTAGAGCGTGGAAGGGCTCAGCCGTTTGACCAGATGCAAACTAAGTCGTTTGGGCATATGGAATATGTTTGCCAAGTTTGGTCCAGATCCATCATTGTTTGAGTCCACAGTGCTCTCTGGTTGTAGGTGAACTACAACTCCCAAACTCAAAGTCAGTGCCCACCAAATCCTTCTAGTGTTTTCTACTGGTCATGGAAGCCTTGTGTGCCACGTTTGGTTCAATGCCATAATTGGTGTTCAGAATGCTCTTTGATTGTAGGTGAACTATAAATCCCAGCAACTGCAACTCCCAAATGATAAAATCAATTTTTTTGAGTGATGGTCACTCCTTGGGATAGTAGGTGTCTTGTGTCCAAATTTGGTGTCAATTCCTCCAGTGGTTTTTGTGTTATGTTAATCCCACAAACGAACATTACATTTTTATTTCTATAACTAGCCGTCCCCTGCCAGGCATTGCTGTGGCCCAGTTTGGTGATCTGGAAAATAAAGTAATGAGAAAGTGTTGGTTTCTAATATATGTAATTCCTTTCTGCTTGTGAGTAAACAGTATTTCTTGTTGTTTCTTTGTCAGTGTTGATGTGGAGTGTCTGGTTTGCCTACTCTGGAACATGCAACATATCATTGTCCTTCTTTAGGGGTCCCTTTCAAATCTATGATACTATATCTGTGTGTGTGTGAGAGAGAATCATATCTATCTATCTATCTATCTATCTATCTATCTATCTATCTATCTATCTATATCTATGGCTGGATGGCTCTTTGTCAGGAGGTCTCTGATTACATTTTCTTGCCCTGGTGAAGAGAGTTGGACTGGATGGCCTTAAGTGTTTTCTGTTGGTCATGGGGGTTCTGTGTGGGAAGTTTGCCCCATTTCTGTCGTTTGTGGGTTTCAGAATGCTCTTTAATTGTAGTGAACTATAAATCCCAGCAACTACAACTCCCAAATGTCAAGGTCTATTTCCCTTAAACTCCATCTGTGTTCATATTTGGGCATATGGAATATTCGTGCCAAGTTTGGTCCAGATCCATCATTGTTTGAGTCCACAGTGCTCTCTGGGTGTGGGTAAACTATAATTCCCAAACTCAAGGTCAATGTCCACCAAACCTTTTCAGTTTTTTCTGTTGGTCATGGGAGCCCTGTGTGCTAAGTTTGGTTCAATTCCATCATTGGTGGAGTTCAGAATGCTCTTTGATTGTAGGTGAACTATAAATCCCAGCAACTTCAACTCCCAAATGACAAAATCAATTTTTTTGAGTGGAGGACATACATTGGACTGTTAGGTGACTTGTGTCCAAATTTGGTGTCAATTCTTACTTGGCCACGGTAGTCCACGCTCTGGTTACATCCCGTTTAGACTACTGCAACGCTCTCTACGTGGGGTTGCCTTTGAAGACAGCTCGGAAGCTCCAACTAGTCCAACGCTCGGCAGCCATGATTTTAACAGGAGCGGAGCGCAGGGAGCATACAACCCCCCTGTTGCGCCAACTCCACTGGCTACCGATCTGCTACCGGGCTCAATTCAAAGTGCTGGCGTTGGCCTTTAAAGCCCTAAACGGTTCCGGCCCAAGCTACCTATCCGACCGCATCTCTGCCTATGAACCCACCAGGACTTTGAGATCTTCCGGGGAGACCCTGCTCTCGATCCCGCCTGCTTCTCAGGCTCGGCTGGCGGGGACGAGAGATAGGGCCTTCTCGGTGGTGGCTCCTCGGCTGTGGAACGCCCTTCCTACGGACATTAGACTAGCACCATCTCTAATGGTATTCCGCAAAAAAGTGAAGACCTGGCTGTTTGAGCAGGCGTTCGAATAATTAGTGCAATGATTGGTTAATGAACACTGGAATGGAACAATGGATGACGAATCTGGAACATGTTTTTGATGACGAGACGACAGTGAATGGGTATTGTAGTAACTGTTTATTAATTGTGTAATGTGTTAGGTTGTTAACTGTTTCTATACTGTAGCACTGAATTTTTGCTGTTCGTATTTGTTGTGAACCGCTGTGAGTCGCCTTCGGGCTGAGAACAGCGGTATATAAGTCAGGTAAATAAATTAATAAATAAATAAATAATTCCCCCAGTGGTTTTTGAGTCCTGATGGTAGCACAAACTAACATTACATTTTTATTTATATAGATATAATATATTTTTATTTTTAATTATTTTTATTTTTTATTTCTATAGATGATAAGGATGATGATGATGATGATGATGATTATGCCTCTCATTAAATCAAACCAAAAGAAAACATGTTGGAGGCTTGAGAGTGCCTTCAGCCTTAAAGGAAGCTTGTTCCCCACTGATTCCCCCAATCCTGCCCCCCACACACACATACACACACACACTTCCTGGCTGGATCCTCTCCTGAGGTCCAACAAGAGGGAGGGGGAGGGGGAGGGGGGGAGGCACCGCCCACAGCAGCTGAAGGAAGCTCGGGAGAAGAGTGGCAGCCAGAGACAAAGAGGCAGGGGCTGGTCCTTGCCCATCTCTGCCCTCCCAGGGCCAAGCGGTGAGTCCTCCTTTCCCCCCATCCTCTGCTTTTCTTAGGAAGCCTCAGACCTGGAGGTGAAGGGGAGGGGAGGGTGCCTTTGGGGAGAAGAAGGAGGGACAGAAACAAAGCCCCGCCACCGGGGAACATGGGGCAGGGCTGCGGACTGCAACTCCCTGGAAGCCCAGGACATCTGGAAGGCCAGAGGGATGGGGTGGGCTCTGCAGTTGGCCCTCCCCTCCTCCTCCCCTCCCTTCCTCCCTCCCTGCTCTCCTCCTTGAGACTCCCCCCCCTTTCCCCTCCCTCCTCCCTCTCAGGCTCCAAAGCCGGGGTTCTCCACCTTCCTCATGCTGCGACCCCTTAATGCAGTGCCTCATGTGGTGGTGGCCCCCAACCATCACATTATTTTTGTTGCTACTTCATAACTATCATTTGGCTACTGTTATGAATCGTAATGTAAACTATCCAATATGCAGGATGTGTTTTAATTCACTGGACCGAATTTGGCACAAATACCCGATGCACGCCAATTTGAATACTAGTGAGGTTGGGAGGGTGTGTGATTTTGTCATTTGGGAGTTGTATTGTTTGGATTTATAGTTAACCTACAATTAAAGAGAATTCTGAACTCCACCAAGGATGAGATTGAACCAAACTTGGCACACAGAACTCCCATGAACAACAGAACACACTGGAAGGGTTTGGTGGGCATTGACCTTGAGTTTGGGAGTTGTAGTTCACCTCCATCCAGAGAGCACTGTGGACTCAAACATTTATTTATTTATTTATTTATTTATTTATTTATTTATTTGTCATGTCAGGGCAACCAGTCAATTATATTACATTTGTAACAGAACAAAGCAAACAAACAGACAAAATACAAAGTTTGCAAGCTTGGTAGTTGATTAAATGTCCTTTGACCAGTATCTGGCCACTTGGAGTGCCTCTGGTGTTGCCGCAAGAAGGTCCTCCATTGTGCATTGGTCAGTGGTTTGCTCTTCTCCAGCAGGTGGTCAGTGGTTTGCTCCTCTCCACACTCGCATGTCGTGGATTCCACTGTGTGGCCCCATTTCTTGAGGTTGTCTCTGCATCTCGTGGTGCCAGAGCGCAGTCTGTTCAGCGCATTCCAAGTTGCCCAGTCTTCTGTGTGCCCAGGGGGGAGTCCCTCATTGGGTATCAGGTTCTGGGTTTGATCCTGCCACTTTTGGACTCTCATTTGCTGGGGTGTTCCAGCGAGTGTCTCTGTAGATCTTAGGAAACTATTTCTTGATTTAAGTCATTGACATGCTGGCTGATACCCAAACAGGGGATGAGCCGGAGATGTCACTACCTTGGTCCTTTCACTATTGGTTGCTACTTCCCGGTGGATGTCAGCAATACCGGCTAGACAGTGTAGTTTCTCCAGTGGTGTAGGGCGCAGACACCCTGTGATAATGCAGCATGTCTCATTAAGAGCCACATCTACTGTTTTAGCGTGTGGTGAGATGTGTTCCACACTGGGCATGCATACTCAGCAGCAGAGTAGCATAGCGCAAGGGCAGATGTCTTCACTGTATCTGGTTGTGATCCCCAGGTTGTACCAGTCAGCTTTCGTATGATATTGTTTCTAGCACCCACTTTTTGCTTGATGTTCAGGCAGTGCTTCTTGTAGGTCAGAGCACGGTCCAGGGTGACTCCCAGGTATTTGGGTGTGCTGCAATGCTCCAGTGGGATTCCTTCCCAGGTAATCCTCAGAGCTCAGGATTCTTGTCTGTTTTTAAGGTGAAAAGCAGATGACTGTTTTAGATGGATTAGGGATCAGCTGGTTTTCCCTGTAGTAGGCAGTAAGAGCGCCTAGAGCAGGGGTAGGGAACCTTCGGCCCTCCAGGTGTGGTGGACTTCAACTCCCACAATTCCTTGAGGCTCGTGTAAGCCTTTGGGGCGAATGCCGAGCCTCAAGGAATTGTGGGAGTTGAAGTCCACCACACCTGGAGGGCCGAAGGTTCCCTACCCCTGGCCTAGAGCTTCGGAGAGCTTCTGTTCAGCCATCTGAAAGCTCCCTGTTTGAGCAGTAATGGCACAACCATTAGCATAAATGAAACTCTCTGTCTCTTCTGGCAGTGGCTGGTCATTTGTGTAGATGTTGAACATGGATGGAGCAAACACGCTCCCCTGAGGCAGGCCATTCTTCTGTTTCCGCCATCTGCTTCTCTGGCCCTGGAACTCAACAAAAAGCTCCTGTTTTGTAGCAGGTTTCCTATGAGGCAGGTGAGGTGGTCGTCCTTTGTGATACTATACATTTTTCTCAGGAGGAGGCGGTGGTTCACAGTATCATAGGCTGCTGACAGGTCTATGAAGACATGTGGTGATGACCCCCAACCTTCACGTTATTTTTGTTTCTACTTCATAACTATCATTTTGCTACTGTTATGAATCATCATGTAAATATCCAATATGCAGGATGTGTTTTAATTCACTGGACCAAATTTGGCACAAATACCCGATGCACCCCAATTTGAATACTAGTGAGGTTGGGAGGAATTGATTTTTGTCAATACGGGTTAAAGAAAATTACTATAAGTTAATATGGAAATTGTACCTTACACCAGTAAGAATAGCAAATATAAATAAAAACTACTAAAAAATTGCTGATAGGGTGTCAAGAATCAGGAACATATATACATGTATTCCTGGCAATGTAAATATCTAAAAAAAATTTTGGGGGCGGGGGGTATTTAGAGCAGGGGTCCACGAACTTTTTAAACAGAGGGCCAGGTCACAATCCCTCAAACTGTTGGAGGGCTGGATTATAATTTGAAAAAAAAGAAAAGAATGAATTCCTATGCACACTGCACATATTTTATTTGTACTGCAAAAATCACTTCACAACAATGCAATAATTAAAGAACAATTTTACCAAATATAAACTTACTAGCCGTCCCCTGCCAGGGGGTTCCGTGTGGGAGGTTTGGCCCAATTCTATCGTTGGTGAGGTTCAGAATGCTCTGTGATTGTAGGCGAACTATAAATCCCAGCAACTACAACTCCCAAATGTCAGGATTCTATTTTCCTCAAACTCCACCAGTGTTCACATTTGGGCATATTGAGTAGTCATGTAGAGTTTGGTCCAGACCCATTATTGTTTGAATCCACAATGATCTCTGGATGTAGGTGAACTACAACTCCAGAACCAAAGGACACTGCCCACCAAACCCTTCCAGTATTTTCTGTTGGTCATGGGAGTTCTGTGTGTGCCAAGTTTGGTTCAATTCTATCATTGGTGGGGTTCAGAATGTTCTTTGATTGTAGGTGTACTATAAATCCCAGCAACTACAACTCCCAAATGACAAAATCAATTCTTTTTACTGCAGGACATACATTGGGTTGTTAGGTGTCTTGTGTCCAAATTTGGTGTCAATTCGTCCAGTGGTTTTTGAGTTCTGTTAATCCCACAAACGAACATTACATTGTATTGTCGAAGGCTTTCATGGCTGGAATCACTAGGTTCTTGTGGGTTTTTTCGGGCTATAGAGCCATGTTCTAGAGGCATTTCTCCTGACGTTTCGCCTGCATCTATGGCAAGCATCCTCAGAGGTGTGAGGTTACATTACATTTCTATTTATAGAGATTAGTATTTCAGTGGGAAGTGTGGGCCTGGTTTTGGCTGATGAGATAGGATTGTTGTTGTTGTTGCTGTTGTGTGCTTTCTAGTCATTTCAGACTTAGGTTGACCTTGAGCGAGGGCTGGGTAAATGACCTTGGAGGGCCGTAACTGGCCCACGGACCTTAGTTTGAGGACCCCTGATTTAGAGAAATAGAGGATATAATGAACATTAAAATAGAAAGAAGTCCTTGTTCATTCATTCATTCATTCATTCATTCATTCAGAATGCTCAAACTTCCGTACACTGGCCCTTATTTCTCATCATGCCAGTAAGGTAATGCTCAAGATCCTGCAAGGAAGACTCCAGCAAGACATGGAGCGAGAGTTGCCAGATGTTCAAGCTGGGTTTAGAAAAGGCAGAGGAACCAGAGACCACATTGCTAATATCCGCTGGATAATGGAGAAAGGCAGGGAGTTTTAGCCTTTGACTGTGTGGATCATAATACATTGTGGCAAGTTCTTGGTGGTCTGGGCATACCAAATCACCTGTCAATCTCCTGAGGAATCTGTATAAGGACCAAGTAGCAACAGTAAGAACTGACCACGGAACAACAGACTGATTCAAGATTGGGAAAGGCGTACGGCAGGGCTGTATCCTCTCACCCAACCTATTCCACTTGCATGCAGAACACATCATGTGATATGCGGGCTTGACGAATGCAAGGCTGGGGTGAAAATTGCTGGAAGAAACCTTAACAACCTTAGATATGCAGATGATACCACTTTGATGGCCGAAAGCGAGGAGGAGCTGAGGAGCCTTCTAATCAAGGTGAAAGAAGAAAGCGCAAAAGCTGGGTTGCAGTTAAACATCAAAAAACCAAGATGATGGCAACCAGACTGATTGACAACTGGGAAATAGAGGGAGGAAACGTGGAGGCCGTGACAGACTTTGTATTTCTAGGCGCAAAGATGAGTGCAGCCAGGAAATCAAAAGACGTTTACTTCTTGGGAGGAGAGCAAGGACCAATCTCGATAAGATAGTGAAGAGCAGATAAATTTGTTTGTTTGTTTGTTTGTTTATATTTAAAACTTTTCTATCCCGATCTTCTCACCTCCGTAGAGGAACTCAGACCGGCTTACAGCAAGGATTCAATGCTACTAATACAAGTTAAAACATCATACAACAATACGAGATTAAAATACATATAGATAAAATACATATATACCAAATTGCCAAGGTAAAATCATGTTCAGGCATGTTTAGCCTGAAGAAGAGAAGGCTGAGAGGGACATGATAGCCATGTATAAATATGTGAGAGGAAGCCACAGGGAGGAGGGAGCAAGCTTGTTTTCTGCTTCCCTGGAGACTAGGACGCAATGGAACAATGGCTTCAAACTACAAGAGAGGAGATTCCATCTGAACATGAGGAAGAACTTCCTGACTGAAAGAGCCATTCAGCAGTGGAACTCTCTGCCCTGGAGTGTGGTGGAGGCTCCTTCTTTGGAAGCTTTTAAACAGAGGCTGGGTGGCCATCTGTCAGGGGTGATTTGAATGCAATATTCCTGCTTCTTGGCAGAATGGGGTTGGACTGGATGGCCCATGAGGTCTCTTCCAACTCTTTGATTCTATGATTATGTGGTCACTCACTTTGGTCTGTAACCAGTCTCAGCCATTATTCTGGGAATGCTTCGTTCCATAACCAGGATTTCACTAGCCTCCTGAAGGACAAGAGGGAGGGGGCAGATCTAATCTTGCTCGGGAGAGAGTTCCATAGCCAACCGAGGGGCCACCACAGAGAAGGCCCTGTCTCTCGTCCCCACCAAACGCACTTGCGAAGATGGTGGGACCAAGACCAGGGCGTCTCCGGAAGATGGTTCATAGGGGAGAATGGTTCTGGCAACAAAGATCCGCATAGTTAACACAATGGTATTCCCCATAGTCACCTATGGATGTAATGCAAGATACTCCACTTTGGCAGGAAAAACGAAATGCAAAGATACAGAATGGGGGACAATGCCTGGCTCGAGAGCAGTATGTGTGAAAAAGATCTTGGAGTCCTCGTGGACAAGTTAAACATGAGCCAACAATGTGATGTGGCGGCAAAAAAAGCCAATGGGATTTTGGCCTGCATCAATAGGAGCATAGTGTCTAGATCTAGGGAAGTAATGCTACCCCTCTATTCTGTTTTGGTTAGACCACACCTGGAATATTGTGTCCAATTCTGGGCACCACAATTCAAGAGAGATATTGACAAGCTGGAATGTGTCCAGAGGAGCGACTAAAATGATCAAGGGTCTGGAGAACAAGCCCTATGAGGAGCGGCTTAAAGAGCTGGGCATGTTTAGCCTGAAGAAGAGAAGGCTGAGAGGATACATGATGGCCATGTATAAATATGTGAGGGGAACAAGGAGGAGGGAGCAAGCTTGTTTTCTGCTTCCCTGGAGACTAGGACGAGGAACAATGGCTTCAAACTACAAGAGAGGAGATTCCATCTGAACATGAGGAAGAACTTCCTGACTGTGAGAGCCGTTCAGCAGTGGAACTCTCTGCCCCGCAGTGTGGTGGAGGCTCCTTCTTTGGAAGCTTTTAAACAGAGGCTGGATGGCCATCTGTCAGGGGTGATTTGAATGCAATATTCCTGCTTCTTGGCAGGGGGTTGGACTGGATGGCCCATGAGGTCTCTTCCAACTCTTTGATTCTATGATTCTATGACCTAAAGGAGCTGGGGGTGGTGACGGCCAACAGGGAGCTCTGGTGTGGGCTGGTCCATGAGGTCACAAAGAGGTGAAAGCAGCTGAAGGAATGAACAACAGACTGTCACTAGCTTCTTGTTTTCAGTCACTTGCTTAGCTATTTCCCTACAATGCTCAGTTGGGCTCCTCCAACTGTCATCCTAGGCTCCGCCCATCTTTTAAATCTTGGCACCTGCTCATTTGCATCCAGCCAATCAGATCGCTCTCATGCAAATAGCTTCGCTACTGGTGCTGCTGCTCCCTGAGAGTCACAAAATGGCTGCTCACATGCTGACCTCTTAAGGTATTTATTTTTATTTATTGATTTACAGCATTTATTTATTTATTTACAGCATTTCCCCGCAAGCAGAGACATCTCCAGCTCATCCCTTGTTTGGGTATCAGCCAGCACGTCAACGACTTAAATCAAGAAATAGTTTTCTTAGATCTACAGAGACACTCGCTGGAACGCCTCAGCAAGCGAGAGTCCAAAAGTGGCAGGCTCAAACCCAGAACCTCAATCTATGGCTGATACCAAATGAGAGACTCCCCCCTGGGCACACAGAAGACTGGGAGACTTGGAAGGCGCTGAACAGACTGCGCTCTGGCACCACGAGATGCAGAGCCAATCTTAATAAATGGGGCTACAAAGTGGAATCCACGACATAGAATCATAGAATCAAAGAGTTGGAAGAGAGCTTATGGGCCATCCAGTCCAACCCCCTGCCAAGAAGCGGGAATATTCCAGGTGTGGTCCCTTTGTCTGAAGGAAGACTGGTGTTTCGTTTGGGACTTTGTAAGAGACTTTAATTTGTGTCTGAAATAAGACTTCCTTCCTTTGTGCCACTTTTGGACTCCTATTTGCTGAGATGTTCCTGTGAGTATCTCTGTAGATCTTCGGAAGTTGTTTCTTGATTTAAGGCACTGGTGTGCTAAAGACCTATTTTCTCTTGATGGTAGTAGATCATTAACCTGGACTTCATCTCCTCTTTGTCTTGCGTTCCCTTTGCTTTGTGACATTTTCAGATGGAGAAGGGAAGAGGTTCTTCAGCCCAGATAGAGCCCAGAGTGAAGATGGAGCTAAACCAGACCTGCACTGAAGGAGGAAGAAAGCCCTGTAAAATGTGGGGCAGGAGAAGTTTTGGGTTCCCAGGCAGAATGGGTCAGGATGCCCTGGAGGAGAAGGCCTTCAGCGCAGACCTTCAGTGCCAATGCTTCCGGCGCTTCTGCTTCCGGGAGTCCTTGGGGCCCCGAGAGGTGTGCAGCCGCCTCCACTCCCTCTGCCGCCTGTGGCTGAAGCCTGAGCAACACTCCAAGGCGGAGATGCTGGACCTGGTGATCCTGGAGAAGTTCTTGGCCGTCATTCCTGCGGAGATGGGGCGCTGGGTGAGGGAATGTGGGGCAGAGACCAGTTCCCAGGCCGTGGCCTTGGCTGAAGGCTTCCTCCTGAGTCGGGCCCAAGAGGAGAAGGCGCTGCAGGAAGAGCGGCAGGAGAGAGAGCTCCTTCAAGCCCAGGAGGTTCCAGTAGATACCAGCCAGGGCTTCCCTTCCAGGTGGATCAAGTTGGAGGAGGACACAAGAGCTGCTCTACCAGGTAAGAGGCCTTTTGCTCCGTCCTCATTCTCAAGGTTCCTCCACATGTATGGTGTTTGGTTACATCTCCAGTAAGACTTGTTTTCAATAGCTGGAGTGTTAGAACATTTCTAAAAAATAGTTATTAGAATATCTAGATGCATGATGCTGTTGTTTGAAACTGGCTGCATTGAATTAATGTTGGGAATCAAGAGCTGTTATGCTCAAAAATAACCCTCTCTGGGGGTGATTCCACCAAAAATATAGCAGAGTGCAGGATGCACAGTTCATACGCAGCAAAACTTATGTGTAGTGAGCAAGGATTGACTTCCATTCAACAGGATGGAACAGGTTTGCAGATCCACAATTCATAGGATCAAAAATAATAGGTTTATTAAAGATAAAAGAAATCCATTCTAGGTAGGAGCGGACTAGCTTCACTGAGCTATCTTCTAAGGAAAAGGAAAAATTCTAAAAGTAACAATATCTACTACATCTTGCCTTAGACAACGACAAGCTGCTTCCTCACTCTAGAGAAGACAAAAGGAGAAGAGGCCAAAAATGGAGACAGGCGACATGGCCAGCCCAGGACAATAAAAATGCCTTTAAAAGAGGAAGTTACGTTTCCTTAAAGAGATCACACTCCTAGGTATTCAAAGGGGGAGGAGATAGTGCCATGCAAAGATGAGTAAAGCAGACCCCCTTCTAAACCCCTTCTTAAAATCAACTAGCTAGAGGAAATTGGGGAGGAATCCCTCTGTCTATCTAGGCTAACTACTCATTGAGAGCTGGAGACTTGAAACCCAACAATGAATGCTTATAATAGAATCATAGAACTATAGATTTGGAAGACACCACATGGGCCATCTAGTCCAAAGTCCTGCCATGCAGAAAAGCACAATCAAAGTATCCCTGACAGATGGCCATCCAGCCTCTGTTTAAAAGGTTCCAAGGAAGGAGCTTCCACCACACTCCGAGGCAGAAAGTTCCACTGCTGAACAATTTGTATGGTCAAGAAGGTCTTATAGAATCATAGAGATGGAAGGGAAGAGTCCAACCCCATTCAGCCAAGAAGCAGGAAAATTGCATTCAAAACACCCCTGACAGGTGGCAATCCAGCCTCTGTTTAAAATCCTCCAAAGAAGAAGCCTCCACCACACTCCAGGGCAGAGAGAGTTCCACTGCTCTCACAGTTAGAAGTTCTTCCTAACGTTCAGGTGGGATCTCCTTTCCTGTAGTCTGAAGCCATTGTTATTCTGTAGAAAACAAGCCTGCTACTTCCTCCCTATGACTTCTCACATATTTATACATGGCTGTCATGTCTCCTCTCAGCCTTTTCTTTTGCAGGCTAAACATGTCCAGCTCTTTCGGTCACTCCTCATAGGGCTTGTTCTCCAGATTCTTGATTATTTAAATCACTCTCCTCCAGACACTTTCCAACTTGTCAATATCTCCCTTCAATTGTGGTGCCCAGAATTGGACACAGTATTCCAGGTGTGGTCTGACCAAGGCAGAATAAAGAAGTAGCATGACTTCCCTGGATCTAGACACTAGACTCCTATTTATGTAGGCCAACATCCCATTTGAGTTTTTAGCTGCCTCATGACATTGTTGACTTTTCCTAATGTTCAAGTGGAATCCCCTTTCCTATAATTTGAACCCATTGCTCCACTGTCTTCAGGGCAGCAGAAGGTAACCCTGCTCCCTCTTCCTTATGACGCCCTTTCACATATTTATACATGGCTCCCATGTCTCCTCTCAACCTTCTCTTCTTCAGGCTAAACACACCCAGCTCTTTAAGACATTCCTCATAGGGATTTGTGGTCTTCAGACCTTTGATCATTTGAGTTGCCCTCCTCTGGACTCCTTCCAGCTCAGAGTCAATCTCCCTTTAAGACTGTGCTGCCCAGAACGGGACACAGTATTCCAGGTGAGGTCTGACCAAAACAGAATAGGGGGGTAGCATGACTTCCCTCGATCTAGATAGTATACTCCTTTTGATGCAGTCCAAAATCCCATTGGCTTTTTTAGCTGCTGCATCACGCGGTTGGCTCATGTTCAACTTGTCCACGAAGACTCCCAGATCTTTTTCACATGGACTGTTGTCAAGCCAGGCCACACACATTCTGTATCTCTGCATTTCATTCTTTCTGCATATAAGGATATCTGTTTTCACTGTTTTTATTGACTTTATATGAATTTATATTTTATATGCTAATGTTTTAAGTGTTTTTGTGTTGTTGGGGGCATCGAGTTGTGCCGAATGTAAACTGCCCTGAGTCACCTGTGGGCTGAGAAGAGCGGTATATAAATACGGTAAATAAATAAATAAATAAAATAAGTATAGTATCTTACATTTGTCCTTGTTGAAATTAATTTTGTTAGTTTTGGCCCAACACTCAAATCTATTAAAGTCATTTTGAATGCTGATCCTGTCTTCTGGGTTATTGGCGCTTGTTCTGTTGCGCGCTGGGCCTGTAAATAATTGCCTTTAAACAGGACATGTGACTTGAGCCCAGCGGGAAGCCAGAGGCCCCCGAAGAGAAGCTCTCATGGATTCTCCATCACAAATGGTCTTTAGATATCTTGTGAAGTATAACAAAGTCCTTTATTAATGAACAATCAAACAGAAACTTCTCTTGTCTTCAGAAAGTTAAACAAATGATTCCAGGCTTTTATGCAACTGGTGGCTTCCTAATCTTGTCCACGAAGGACAGGCAATTGTCTTCAATAACTAATTCTTTCCTTTAAAGGAAAATCCCCTTTTTAACTTCTCCCAGGCTGACTGTAATCTAATTCTTACTGATGTGGGCTCCGCTACCGGGTCGAATTGCATCTCGAACGCCAAGTGGACCTACCAGTAAGGCTAGTAGATTCTCCAGCTGGAGTTCTTTGGTCTTTAGGGCTGTTTCCCTGGAAATCTTTGGAGACTCTTAAGGCTGTTCTCCTTCGGAAAGTCTTAAAGGTTGAAGCTTTTGTACAGGAGAAGTTTGAACACATCCTGTACATTAGCTTTCCTTACTGAGACTAACTAAAAATGGCTCCCTTCCCTTCCCAATTGCCCTGAGCAAGGGGCGGAACCAAAACTTAACGATGATGGACATGTGACTTGCCCTATGACTGCAACCAAAGGAAGCCACCTTTCTGCAGAATCCCTGAAACCTGGACTGCAAGCAAACATTTAATACAAAGCAAATAAAGTTGGAGCTCCTGGTACAGCTGTACCAGCACAGCGCTCCCTCCCAATTTGGGGTCATCTGCAAACTTGGTCAGCACGCCCTCTAAACCTTCATCCCAGTCATTAATAAAGATATTGGACAGTATTGGGCTCAGGATCGAACCCTCTTTATGGCACTCCAGTCATCACTTCTTTCCAGGATGAAGTGGAACCATTGTTGGGCATCCTTTGGGTTCAATCACTTAACCAATTACAGATCCATCTAACGGTAACTTTGCCTAGTATACTTGCAAGAAGGTCATGGGGGACTCTGTCAAAGGCCTTACTGAAATCAAGATATGCTACATCCACGGTGTTCCCTGCATCTACCAAGCTTGTAACTCTACCAAAAATAGAAATATGAATAGTCTGGCATAACTTAATTTTGATAAATCCATGTTGACTACTAGTGATCACAGCATTCCTTTCTAAGTGATTGCAGACTGCCTCCTTAATGATCTGCTCCAGAATCTTTCCTGGTATTGATGTCAGGTTGACTGGACAGTAATTGTTTGGGCCCCCTCATTGTCAGTTTTTAATTTTCTCCTTCCTTTGGTATCACAGCAGAGGAGCCAAGGATGCTGGGAAGTCATCATAGCTCATCTCTTTGTGAAGCAGGAGAAATGGCCTCCATGGAACAGGATCAGGTAAAAGATGGAAGTAGAAATGGACTGGAGATACTTCTGGAATTGCCTAGGGCCACGTCATGTGGCTGGAACGGTTCTTTCAGTTCCTCAACTGGGGAGCAATATGCCTAGTAATACAAGAAGGATTGCTGATCTCTTTGTTCTAATCTTCCTCTTTCAGGTGACTTTTGAGAATGTGTCTGTACATTTCAGTGAGGAAGAGTGGGTCCTGCTGGATCCGGATCAACGGGCCCTGCACTGGGAAGTCATGGGAGAGAATTTTAAGACGTTCGCCTCTTTCGGTAAAGATCCCTCTGAGTCTTGTTGTGTAGAAATCAGTTTTGGAAATGTCACTTGCTTCTGCATAGTTTAGGATCATGATTCTTCATCCAAACATTTTTCCATTGTTCTAGCTGAATTTGTGTAATTATATTTTAAGCCCATTTAGCCATACAGTCTTTCTCTTCTTCTTCCTCCATGTCATATCATAACAATAGTTGAGAATTTTTTGAAATCAATCATTCCCTGAATACAACTAAATTTCCAACTCAACTCCACACAGGGACTCCAGTTGAGGTGGGGAGGAATCGAGGAGTGTGGGGTGTGTGCTCATCAATTTTGCCATGACACCAATTTGGGAGAGAGAAGTAATATCCCATAGGACAGGTTCAGGATCCAAAATTTATTTATTTATTTCGCGTATTTCTACCCCGCCCTTCTCAACCCCCGAGGGGGGACTCAGGGCGGCTTACAAAAGGCACAATTCGATGCCTACACAAACAATAAAAATAAAACATACATAAACAGCAATTAAAACAATTATAAACAATTAAAACAATCAATTATACATTATACATCACATGATCTTACTATATTAGAAAACTGTGGTAAAACCAATTAAATTAATTTCAACAGGAAGAAAATCCCCCAATCTATTTTTAAATGACTGGATTATATCACATTTCAATGTACCTGCACATAGAAATACAACTAAAACACTCTCTTCTTAAGAAAACATAAGTCATTCATCCAGACTGACTTATGGCTCATCCCTTTTTTGGGTATCAGCCAGTATGTCAATGACTTAAATCAAGAAATAGTTTTCTAAGATTTACAAGACACTCATAGGAACACCTCAGCAAGCGAGAGTCTAAAAGTGGCAGGCTCAAACCCAGAACCTCAATCAACGGTTGATACCAGATGAGAGACTCCCTCCTGGGCACACAGAAAACTGGGCGACTTGGAAGGCGCTGAACAGACTGCGCTCTGGCACCACGAGATGCAGAGCCAACCTCAAGAAATGGAGCCACAAAGTGGAATCCACAACATGCGAGTGTGGAGAAGAGCAAACTACGGACCACCTGCTGCAATGCACCCTGAGCCCTGCCACATGCACAATGGAGGACCTTCTTGCAGAAACACCAGAAGCACTCCAAGTGGCCAGATACTGGTCAAAGGACATTTAATCAACTACCAAGCTTGCAAACTTTATGTTTTGTCTGTTTGTTTTGTTCTGTTAAAAATGTAATACAACTGTTTGGTTGCCCCTGACATGATAAATAAGTAATTCCAGACTGATACGTTTTTGAGCTCTCAATTTATAACTCTGGAAAAAAAAAAAGCATGACAATTTTACCCAGAATAATGTTGGATCATAATGCTGGGGTGTTGTTTATTAGAACAGGAACGTTTAATTGGAAAATTAAAGTTGTTATTTTGTGATGAAAAAGAGTCCTTGACAATGAAGAATCAAAGTGAAAATGTCAAGGGAGGATGAATAAGAGGATGGTCTGGGCTGCTAATTAATTGACTTATTTTCCGCTTCTATTTTCTCATGTCTTCTTAATGTTTCTTTTTTCTTCAAGGTGGTGCTGGAGAAGAGAGTGAAAATGGGACAGCATCATGTGAAGTGTGGTGGAAGACAGCAGGATATAAAGAGGGGGAAGAGGGAAACCTGGAAATGGAAAGAGAAACATATAGAAGGAAGGAGTGTTCTGCGGATACAAGGGAAATCACAATGCAAGAAACAGTAGACGAAAGCAGGGGGATCAGGAACTGTCTTGTCTTTGAGAGTAGCTTCTTGCATGAGGAACCATGCCTGAATGGTGATCTCTCCATCCTAATGGAGAAAGGACAACCTCAATGCCATCAATTGGAAGAGAGCTTTGGATCTAGTATACACCTTACAAACTATGAAAATCCACAAATTGTGGATAAGCCATATAAATGCCTGGAGTGTGGGAAATGTTACCATCTTAAAGCAAGCCTAAGCAGACACCAAAAATCCCACTTGGAAGAGAAGCCATATAAATGCCTGGAGTGTGGAAAAGATTTTTCTGAAAAGAGAAGTTTTCTTGTGCATGAAATGAATCACAGAGGAGAGAAACCCTATCAATGCAGCGAGTGTGGAAAAGGTTTCTCTGAAAAGAGAAGTCTTATTGTGCATGAAATGAAGCACAGAGGAGAGAAACCCTTTAAATGCCTGGAGTGTGGGAAAGGCTTTTCTGATAAGAGAAATCTTATTGGACATGAAATGAATCACAGAGGAGAGAAACCCTATCAATGCCTGGAGTGTGGAAAATGCTTCCCTCAAAAAGAAGTCAGAAATGAACACCAGAAAACCCATATCAGGGGGAAGTCATATAAATGCCTGGAGTGTGGAAAAGGTTTCTTTTGGGGACGACAACTTAAAATCCATGAAAGAACTCATGGACATGAAATGAATGACAAAGGAGAGAAACCTTATAAATGCCTGGAGTGCGGAAAAGATTTTTCTGAGAAGAGAAGTCTTATTGGACATGAAAGGAACCACAGAGGAGAGAAACCCTATCAATGTCTAGAGTGTGGGAAGAGTTTCTGCTGGAAAAATAAACTGAAGCAGCACCAAATCATCCACACAGGAGAGAAGCCGTATCAGTGCCTGGAGTGTGGAAAATGCTTCTCTCTAAAAGGAACCCTCAACAAACACAAAAAAACCCACATGGGACGGAAGCCATAGAAATGCCTGGAATGTGGAAAATGCTTCGCTCAAAAAAGAAGCCCTCAACAACCATCAAAACACCCAAATGAATGCCTGGAGTGTGAAAACGTTTCTTTCAGAAAGGACAGCTCAAAAACCACAGAAGAACCCACACAGGGGAACAGCCCTATAAATGCTGGGAGTGTGGAGAAGGATTTTCTGATAAGAAAAATCTTACTGGACGTGAAATGAAGCTTGGCTGTTTGAATATAAGTAACTCTTTTTCCACCTCCAAGATTCTGTTATTGTTATTCTTGCCGCAGCAAAACTGTATTGGGAGATTTCTTCATCTCCTTTATGTGGTTCTCTCTCTAAATAATCCTAAACACACATTTCTGGCTTTTTTCTTAAACTTTTAGAGATAATTTTGTTTCCCCAAAATTTTGTACTGTCTTGCAGGTCCACCAAACATGAAAAAGTACCTTTCTGCATAGAATCATAGAATCAAAGAGTTGGAACAGACCTCATGGGCCATCCAGTCCAACCCCCTGCCAAGAAGCAGGAATATTTATTTACTTATTGTGTCAGGAGCAAACAAACAGGTGTATTGCATTTTTTAACAAACAAACAAAACACAAAGTTTGCAAGCTTGGTAGTTGATTAAATGTCCTTTGACCAGTGTTGCCGCAAGAAGGTCCTCCATTGCGCATGTGGCGGGGCTCAGGTTGCATTGCAGCAGGTGGTCAGTGGTTTGCTCCTCTCCACACTCGCATGTCGTGGATTCCACTTTGTGGCCCCATTTCTGAAGGTTGGCTCTGCATCTCGTGGTGCCAGAGCGCAGTCTGTTCGGCACCTTCCAAGTCACCCAGTTTTCTGTGTGCCCAGGGGGAGTCTCTCATTTGGTATCAGCTATGGATTGAGGTTCTGGGTTTGAGCCTGCCACTTTTGGACTCTTGCTTGCTGGGGTGTTCTAGCAAGTGTCTCTGTAGATCTTAGAAAACTATTTCTTGAGTTAAGTCGTTGACATGCTGGCTGATACCCAAACAAGGGATGAGCTGGAGATGTCTCTGCCTTCGTCCTTTCACTATTGGCTGCTACTTCCCGGCGGATGTCAGGTGGTGCAATACCGGCTAAGCAGTGTAATTTCTCCAGTGGTGTAGGGCGCAGACACCCCGTGATAATGCGGAATGTCTCATTAAGAGCCACATCCACGGTTTTAGCGTGGTGAGATGTGTTCCACACCGGGCATGCATACTCAGCAGCAGAGTAGCATAGCGCAAGGGCAGATGTCTTCACTGTGTCTGGTTGTAATCCCCAGGTTGTGACAGTCAGCTTTCGTATGATATTGTTTCTAGCTCCCACTTTTTGCTTGATATTCAGGCAATGCTTCTTGTAGGACAGAGCACGGTCCAAAGTGACTCCCAGGTATTTGGGTGTGTTGCAATGCTCCAGTGGGATTCCTTCCCAGGTGATCCTCAGAGCTTGGGATGCTTGTCTGTTCTTAAGGTGAAAAGCACATGTCTGTATTTCAGATGGATTAGGGATCAGCTGGTTTTCCCTGTAATAGGCAGTAAGAGCACCTAAAGCTTTGGAGATCTTCTGTTCTACCATCTCAAAGCTCCCTGCTTGAGCAGTAATGGCACGATCATCAGCATAGATGAAACTCTCTGTCCCTTCTGGCAGTGGCTGGTCATTTCATAGAATCAAGGAGTTGGAAGAGACCTCATGGGCCATTCAGTCCAACCCCTGCCAAGAAGCAGGAATATTGCATTCAAAACACCCCTGACCGATGGCCATCCAGCCTGTTTAAAAGCTTCCAAAGGAGGAGCCTCCACCACATTCTGAGGCAGAGAGTTCCATTGCTGAACGTCTCTCACAGTCAGAGAGTTCTTCCTAATGTTCAGATGGAATCTCCTCTCTTGTAGTTTGTTTCGTGTCCTAGTCTCCAGGGAAGCCGAAAACAAGCTTGCTCCCTCCTCCCTGTGACTTCCTCTCACATATTTATACATGGCTATCATATCTCCTCTCAGCCTTCTCTTCTTCAGGCTAAACATACCCAGCTCCTTAAGCCGCTCCTCATAGGGCTTGTTCTCCAGACCCTTGATCATTTTAGTCGCCCTCTTTCTCTGGACACATTCCAGCTTGTGGTGCCCAGAATTGGACACAATATTCCAGGTATGGTCTAACCAACGCGGAATAGAACATGGGGAGCATGACTTCTCTAGATCCAGACACTATGCTCCTGTTGATGCAGGTCAAAATCCCATTGGCTTTTTTTGCCTCCATTTGTGTAAATGTTGAACATTGAGGCAGGCCGTTCTTCTGTTCCCACCATCTGCTTCTCTGGTCCTGGTACTCAACAAAAAAGCTCCTGTTTTGTAGCAGGTTTCCTATGAGGCGGTAGTCCTTTGTGATATTATACATTTTTTCTCAGGAGGAGGCTTAGCCCTGAATAATAGCCTTGGAGGGATTGAAGAAGGAAGGAGAAAGGGAAGGGAGGGGGGATTCACATGGGACACAGTGGCAGAAATGGAGGGGCCAGTCCCTTCAGGGCCCAAAGGGGGCGGGCCAGGGCCTCTCTCCCGCCCAGAAGGGGGCGTGGCCAGAGGGAGAGGCCCCGCCCCCAGCAGCAGTAGCAGAGTCGGAGGGAGAAGAAGCAGGGGGTGCCCTGGCTCACCTGGAGTCTTCCCTCTCGAAGCCACGCGGTGAGGCCGCCTTCTCCCTTCTGTGAGTTTTCGGGAGGGGAGGAGACCCCTCTGTTGGAAGACCCAACGTGGGAAGGAGGGAGGTGGGCTTCCTTTCCTTCTTTCCTTCCTTCTCCCCCTCCCCTTTGAGCCTGGCCAGGAGAAGGGCTGGGAAGTCTCCAATGGGAAAGGAAAACATGGTCCAGGTGCTGCAACTGGAACAGAGGTGGGCTCTGCAGGGGTCCCTTCCAGCTCCCTCCCTTTCTTCCTTTGTTTCCTCCCTTCCTTCTCTTCCCTTCTTCCTTTCATCTTCTTTTCCTGCCATCCATGTTTTCTTCCCTCCTTCCTTCCTCCCTCCCATCCTTCTTTCCTTCCTTCTTCCTTCCTTCCTTCCTTCCTTCCTTCCTTCCTTCCTTCCTTCCTTCCTTCCTTCCTTCCTTCCCCTTCCTTTCATCTTCTCGTCCATCCTTCCCTTTCTTCCCTCTCTTTCCTTCCGTCCCTCCCATCCTTCTTTTCCTTCCTTCCTTCCTTCCTTCCCTTCCATCTTCTCTTCCATCCTTTCCCTTCCCTTCCCTCCCTTCTACCTGCCATTCTTCTTTCCTTCTCTTCCTTCCACCCTTCCTTCTCTTCTTTCCATCCTTCCTTCCTTTCATCTTCTCTTCCATCCTTCCCTTTCTTCCCTCTCTTTCCTTCCCCTCCTTCCGTCCCTCCCATCCTTCTTTTCTTCCCTTCCCTTCCCTTCCATCTTCTCTTCCATCCTTTACTCCTTTCCCTTCCTTCCTTCCCTCCCTTCCTTCTACCTGCCATTTTTCTTTCCTTCTCTTCCTTCCACCCTTCCTTCTCTTCTTTCCATCTTTCCTTCCTTTCATCTTCTCTTCCATCCTTCCCTTTCTTCCCTCTCTTTCCTTCCCTTCCCTTCCTTCCGTCCCTCCCATCCTTCTTTTCTTTCTTTCTTTCCTTCCTTTCCCTCCTCTTCTCTTCCTCCTTTTCCTTCCTTCCTTCTTCCCTCCTCCCTTCTCTCCTTTCCTTCTCCTTCCTTCCACCCTTCCTTCTCTTCTTTCCATCCATCCTTCCTTTCCTTCCTTCCATCCTTCCTCCTTGTTCTTCTCCTTGAGCCTCCATTCCCTTCCCCTTCCTCTTCCCCTTTGAGCCTGGCAGGGGAAGGCCTTGTCAGTCTCCAATGGGAAAGGAAAACATGGGTCAGGTGCTGGAACTGGAACAGAGGTGGGCTCTGCAGGTGTCCCAGCTCCCTCCCTTCTTTCTTCCCTCTCTTCCTTTCCACCCTGCCTTCTCTTCTTCCCATCCATCCTTCCTTCTCATTCTTTCTTCTCTTACCCTCCCTCCCTCCTTCCCTCCCATTCTTTCATCTTCTCTTCCTTCCTTCTCTTTCTTTTCCTTCCTTCCATCCCTTCCACTCTTCATTTTTCCTTCCTTCCCTCCAGTCCATTTCACCTTCTCTTCCATCCTTTCTTCTTTTCCCTTCCCTCCCTTCCTTCTATCTGCCATTCGTCTTTCCTTCTCTTCCTCCCACCCTTCCTTCTTTCCATCCATCCCTTTCTTTCTTCCTTCCTTCCATCCATCCTTCCTCCTTGTTCTTCTCCTAGACCCTCCATTCCCTTCCTCTTCCTCCTCCCCTTTGAGCCTGAGAAGGAGAAGGCCTTTTAAGTCTCGAATGGGAAAGGAAAACATGGGCCAAATGCTGTGACTAGAACAGAGGTGGGCTCTGCAGGTCTCCATTCCAGCTTCCTTCCTTCCTTCCTTCCTTCTTTTCTTCCTTTCTTTCTTTCCTCTTTTCCTTTCTTCCCTCTCTCCCTTTCCTCCCCTCCTTCTCTTCCCTTCCTTCTTTCTCTTCTCTTCCTTCCTCTTTCTTCTTTTTTCTCTTTCCTTCCTTCCTTCTCCCCTTCCTTCCTTCCTTCCTCTTTTTTTTTTTTTTTTTTTTTTTTTCTTCCATCCTTCCTTTCCCTTCCTCTTTCCCTCCCTCTTTCTACCTGCCATTCTTCTTTCCTTCTCTTCCTTCCATCGAGGGGGAATATCCCACCTATTTGTTGTTATGTAAATGGTGATTTCTTCCTCATTGAAAGATTGGAATTCTATAGCCTTTTCCTCCCTGTCCCCCCTCCCCACTCCCCTCCCACATCCTCCACCCGCCATTAGTCTCTTCAAATATTCCCTTACTCCTTTGGTTCCTTCCCTTCTCCTTACGCACTTTCCCCCCCCATTTCTCCCTCTCCATCCTTCCTTTCCCTTCCATCTTTCCCTCCCTCTGTTCTACCTGCCAATTCTTCTTTCCTTCTCTTCCTTCCATCCACTTTTCCTTCTCATCCTTTCCTTCCCTCCCTCCCTCCATCCCACCCTTCCTTCTCTTTCCTTCCTTCCCTCCCTTCCTTCTACTTGCTTTCCTTCTACTCTTCCTTTTCTTCTTTCCATCCATCCTTCCTTCCCTTCTCTTCCATCCTTCCTCCTTGTTCTTCTCCTTGAGCCTCCGTTCACTTTCCCTTCCTCTTCCCCTTTGAGCCTGGCCGGGAGAAGGGCTTGTCCATCTCCAATGGGAAAGGAACACATGAGCCAGGTGCTGGAACTGGAACTGAGGTGGGCTCTGCAGGTCTCCCTTCCAGCTTCCTTCCTTCCTTCCTTCCTTCCTTCCTTCCTTCCTTCTTTTCTTCCTTTTCTTCTTCCTTTCCTTTCCTTTTCCTTCCTTTCCTCTTC